AGGATCTACAGTAGATGGCTATAGGTGTGGTACAGTTTTTACAATAGAAAACTTTGAAATCACGTGTATTATATATTACAAAGTATATAAATAATATTTTAAAAATTGATTTATTTATCATGCCAGGTTGTCTATATAACCATATACGTACGTATATATATATATATATAGTGCACAGTGCAATTTATATGATATAATATCAACACAATTTAGCAATTAACATTAAAGCCTATTTTAAAAAAATAATAACTATATATATATGTAATATAAATATAAATAAAAAGGTAGCATTCTTTCTTATTATATAGAACTAATCAAAATTAGAAAGGTAAAATTTTATACATATAACATAACTATATATATACCACACTGTATATTTATTCAATCTATTTATCTTGATTCCAAGTTTTCTAGTCAATTATTAATACTTCATCTGCAATTAATTTTTCTTGAACTTGCACTTGCTAATGATAGGTTTCTAATATACCTTTTGGTAGTGCTTTTTCTTCTATCTACATAGCCTCATTTTTATTACTAACTAAAACTTCACCATATCGATAGTTGTAAACAGATATATTAGTGTCTACTTGAAAATCTTGAACATCCAAAAGAGGCTTTGCAGATAAGTTAAATTTCTTATTCAAATATTTTCTCTTATTGTAATTCAAAGATCTTTTTAAAGCAAAGTACTTATTACAAAAGAGACAAATATATTCCTTGATTGATTTATTGATAGTTGGGCAGTACCAATCAAAAAGAAAACATTGTAAATTCATATCTGGAGGAATTAACTTTCCTTCCATTAATACAGATAAGAGAAACTAGAATAGTGAATTGAATCAGCAGATGCATTCATATTTGCTGTGCAAATATCAGAAGGGTTTTGTTAAACCCTAAAGGTAAAGAGAAAAAGCAATTTGGAAGAATTTGACAAATTCTACTTCGAAAGGGTCTGCAACAGCTTTGATCATCACACTTTGTGACTTGAGTCATATAATGACTAGTCATTACATGTTTCTCTATTCAAAGTGCTAACTTCTTACTTGGATTGTGATGTTCTTTAGAAGGATCTATATACTTAACAAAAACCAAGTAACTATCTATAATTGTGGTTTTCTATTTTGATACTAAAGTATCTCTGGCTGCCTTAAAATTATACCTTTCTAATTCTTTATTATTTGTTTTCAATTGTGCATCCAAATATGTTTCAAATGTATTATGTGAGAGTATAATACTAGCTAAATCATAACTTAAAGGTACTATTCATCTTTTAACTGGATTAGATGTACTCTGGTAAGGTGCAAAGCAAGCTACAATGATAGTATTAAAGTTATATTTATTAAAATAATCAATTATCATCTAAATTATCTTCTTATACCGAGAATTTTTGTCAGGGCTATTATTAGTTAAAAGCACCACTACAGGTTTAGGTTGTTTATTTGTTGTTGTAGTAAAGTTACGCAATTGCTCCTCATTTATCAAGTTATCAAAATCTTTACTATGAGAGTACGCAGTACTACTATCATGTTTATCACTATGGATTCTTATAAATGTTGGACCCAAGTATAATACTGCTTTAGCATGTCTATACTTGCCTTCTTGTATATCTAATATTGCATAAACTGAAGAAATCAGCTTATGCATTTCAGCAATGACTCAGTCATGATCTGGGAGCTCTACTCAGTATTTCAGTCTTATAAGAATTAGTACTATAAAAAAATTATTTATTAGTTTTAATTTAAATAAGAATTATATTTTTATTCAGTTAAAATTACTCAAAAAGCTATAATATCTATCCCTTAAATTGTTTTGCAGCCAAATTTGCCTGCAAAATTTTTTAAAATATAAATTTTTTTAATAAAA